TCCGTTTTTCTCCCTCCCAGAGCCTTCGCGCAGCCCCTGCACTTACCTACATCCAAAATGGGCTGCATGGAGATTCCTGAGATGGGCGGGGCAGGTGGGGCCAGCGGATCAGTTCAAATACCGGTTCGATGAACCAGATGCAAATTTATCATCCGGTTCGCCTGAACTGGTCCGAACCGGTAGAATCCCACCCCTGCCTAGTTCCCTTAACTGGTCATTATACGGTTTAGCAGCCCAGCCCCCACATCATCTGTGTTGCTCTCCAGGTAATCCTCAACTTACAACTTGTTTTAAGGGGTGGGATAGAACTGCTGCTAAGCATGTATTGATTTGTCTACTTGTTCCCAGCAAGCCAGGGCTGAAACTGGCTTACAAAACCCTTGCCTGGAAATGATTGTTTTGAACAGAGCTGGAAACAGCCCGACAGGTGGGACTTCCCGACCGAGGTCTCTTTTACAAAAGGAGAAGATGCCCGTTGGCTTACTCTACAAATCATGGCTCCAAATTTTCAAGACCAAGAAAGATGCACAAGGTAGAGGCTCACAAGCCCATCCCACCAAGGCCTACCTCACACACATACACACACACACACACACACACACACACCGAAATCAGCAATTAGGTCCATATCTCTACTACTGAAAATTAGTCTTGGGACTGAGCCGATTATGATGTTGGAATTGGGTGGCCTAGAAATCTGGCATGTAAATCAACAAACAAATAAATCCTTGATTGCATGGGCACAAGCCAAGTTCACCTACAGGGTCAAGCCCTAACAGGGATCCTTCCTTCCCCCCCTCCCTTCTTCCCCTCTTTCCTTCCTTCCTTCTTTCCTCCTTGTTTCCCCAACTGCGACGCACTGCCTGGATTTCAGGGCTGTCCACAGGATGCGCTCAGAGAAGCCCAGGTGAGGCTCCCATCGCTGCCCTCCCAGCTCTGCGCATCCTCAGCGGCTTCCCAGAGAACTTTAACGGCACCTCTGGAGCGATTACAGCTGGTCCTCCACTTATGACCACACTTGGGCCCCGAATTGATGTGGCTAAGTGAGACATTTGTTAAGCGAGTCTTGTCCCATTTTACAACCTTTCTTGCCCCAAGTTGTTAAGTGAATCACTGCAGTTGTTAAGTTAGTAACACGGCTGTTAAGTGAATCTGGCTCCCCCCCACTGACTTTGCTTGTCAGAAGGTCATAAAAGAGGATCGTGTGATCTTGGGACACTGCAACCGTCATGAGTCAGTTGCCAAGCGCCTGAACGACCGTGGAGACGCTGCAACAGTCGTAAGTGTGAATAGCGGTCCTAAGTCACTTTTTCAGTGCCGTCATTTCGGTCACTGAACGAACTGTTGTAAGTCGAGGACTACCTGTATGTTGGCCACATCCTGGGGACACCTTGGCTGCCTTGGGTAAGAGATCAAAGGCTATTTGGAATTACGCTTTATACCTCCAGGGAAACGAAGGGCGTGTCCTGGACTTGTAAGGAAATCTGCTCCCCATCGATGGTGAATTTCCTGGAGTATAAAGCGCCTAAAGAGGAAGAAGGAAAAGTGGGAAGATAATTAATAGATCAGGTAGAGCAGTGATGGCGAACCTTTTTGTTGGGGTGTGCCAAAGGCGCAAAATGCAATGTGCCCCGCCCACCCTGGGCATGCACGCACAACACCCCCGCCCTGCCTCTTACCTGGAACTGCGCATGCGTGCGCCTCCCAGCTGATTTTTTTTGGCCCCTCAGAGGCTCGAGGGAAGCCTCTGCAGCCTTTGGAGGCCAAAAAACTGGCCCGTTTCGTCACTTCGGGTATTTCCGGAACTGCAGAAGCTTCCCTTGAGCCTCCAGGAGGGCGAAAACGGCCTCAAACGGGCCAAAAACCAGCGGAGAGATGCACGCATATGCGCAGTGCAGGTACGTTTGGCTGGGGCTCGCGTGCCCACACAAATGGCTCCGCGTGCCACCATCCCAGAGATACATCATGTGTTTATTTGACTTTCCTCCAATTTTGCCCCAGTCTGCTCACTTTTCTTGCTGCTAAGGCAAGAATGTTGAGAGCCAGGAAGCACGTAAGTTGAATGTAAGTCTAGTAAAGGCCTCAACGTACGACCGTAACCAAGCCCAAATGTTCCATGGCTAAGCAAGACAGTTGCGTTTTACGACCTGCCTTGCCACATTTGTTAAGTGAATCACTGCAATTGTTAAAGTGACCCTGGTCTCCCCGTTGACTTGACTTGCCAGAAAGTTGCAAAAGGGGATGACGTGACCCCAGGACCGTCATAAATACGAGTCCGATGCCAAGCGCCCGAATTTTGATCACCTGATCATGGAGATGCTGCAACGGTCATAAGTGTGAAACGTGGTCATAAGTCACTTTTTTCTGTGCCATTGTAACTTTGGTCACTAATTGAATGGAAGTGGGTCAGCAAAGCTGGCTGGGGAATTCTGGGAGTTGAAGTCCACAAGTCTTAAAGTGGCTAAGTTTGGAGACCCTGGCTATAAGTAACGGTTATACACGGAGCCGGTTCTGACTGGTTCTGGAGAACCAGTAGAGGAAATTCTGAGTGGTTTGGAGAACCGGCCAATCCCACCTCTGACTGGCCCCACCTCCATCTCTTCTCTGCCTGCCATTGAGTCCCAGCTGATCGGCTGGGTCTCCTTTGGTTGCCCTGCACAGGAGAACGGAGCTGGAAAGCAGGTCAGTGGTGTAGGGAGGGAGTGGGGATTTTGCAGTAACCTTCCCCTGCCACGCCCACCAAGCCACACCCACAGCTGATAGGCTGGGTCTCCTTTGGTTGCCCTGCACAGGAGAATGGAGCTGGAAAGCAGGTTAGTGGGGTGGGGAGGGAATGGGGATTTTGCAGTATCCTTCCCCTGCCACGCCCACCAAGCGATGCCCACCAAACCACACCACGCCCACCAAGCCACGCCCACCAAGCCACACCCACAGCTGATAGGCTGGGTCTCCTTTGGTTGCCCTGCACAGGAGAATGGAGCTGGAAAGCAGGTCAGTGGGGTAGGGAGGGAGTGGGGATTTTGCAGTAACCTTCCCCTGCCACGCCC